TCAGTGGTGCTTCCGAACTAAGAATAGGAAGAAGGACTAGGTGTTTCCCTTGTGAGGAGTTTTCCCCTGAAAACCTTATGAATAGCAGCAAAATAATATTTTTTAAGTAGTGCCAGAACGATGAGCATCAGGGTGGAAGACACTCAAAATACCACAGAAGAAAGCTACCTCCTCAAAGTAGACTTGACATTAATGATGAGAATTGAGCAAAGCTTTCAGGACCTTCATTTGATGATGAAGCGTGACTCAGACTAAGAAGAAACAGCTGAAAGCATCCATTCATTAATAATCAGAACATGGAACGTATGAAGTATGAATCTAGGAAAATTGGAAGTCATCAGAAATGGAATACTTAAAGGCCAATATCCCAGGCATTAGGGAACTGAAATGGACTGTGCTGGCCATTTTGAGTCCGACAATCATATGGCTTACTATGTTGGGAATGATAATTTGAAAAGGAGTGTTACCACTTTCATCATCAAAAAGAACATTTCAAGATCTGTCTTGAAATACAATGCTGTCTGTGATAGGATATACACACAAGGATGACCAGTTAATGCCATTATAATTCAAATTTACATAGCAACCCTAAAAGCCAGTGATAAAGAAATTTAAAAATTCTACTTGTCTCTTCATTCTGAAATTGGTCAAACATGTACTGGTAATGAGATAATTGGAAACAAAGGGGAAGGATCAGTAGTTGGAAAATATGGCCTTGGTGACAGAAATGCCACTGGAGATTGAGATTGCGTGATAGAATTTTGTAAGACCAACAACTTCTTTAGTGCAATTACTTTATTCAACAACATTAAATGATGACTATACACGTGGACCTTGCCAGATGGAATACGCAGGAATCAAATTGACTGCATCTGTGGGAAGAGACTGACACTGGAAGATAATGCACTGGATCACAAGGTCTGTTTGAACCACAAGGTCAGTGCGGTGCAAACTCACCAGTCACTCCTTGGAAATCCTATCCTGGGTCGCTATGAGTCGGAACTGACTTGGCAGCACTTAACAACAACGATAAAATGGACAAAATACTGAATAACACAGGAAGCGTCAAAAGAATACAGAAGGAAAACATAGTCACTGTGTCTAAAAGAATTGGTCAGTGTTCAACCATTTTAAGAGGTAGCATGTGATCAATATTGAAGGAAGAAGTCCAAGCTGCACTGAAGGCATTGGTTAAAAACAAGGGTCCTGGAATTGATAGAATACAAATTCAAATGTTTCAACAAACTGAATGCAGTGCTGGAAGCATTCACTATTCTATGCCAAGAAATTTGAAAAACAGCTACCTTGCCAACTGACTGGAAGAGATCCGTATTTCAGCCTATCCTAAAGGAAGATGACCCAACAGAATACAGAAATTATTAAACAATATCATTAATATCATATGGAAATAAAATTTTGCCAGAACTCATTCAAAAACAGTTGCAGCTGTACATCTACAGGGAGCTGCCAGAAATTCAAATCAGATTCAGAAGAGGATGTGGAACAAATAATATCACTGCTGACGTCAGATGAATCTTGACTGAAAGAGAATACCAGAAAGGTTTTTACCTTTGTTTTGAAAGGTTTTATCAATTTTGCGGAGGCACTCTACTGTGTGAATCATAACAAGCTATGAATAGCATTATGAAGAAAGGGAATTCCAGAACAATTGTGCTCATGTAGAATCTGTACGTAGGACAAGAGGCAGTTGTTTGAACAGAACAAGGGAATAATGTACAATTTAAAATCAGGAAAGGTGTGCGCCAGGGTTGTGTCTTTTCACCATACTTACTTTGTATACTGAGGAAATAATTTGAGAAGCTGGACTGTATTGTATCAAGATTGGAAGAAGACTTATTAACAATCTGCAGTATGAAGGAGGCATAACCTTGCTTCCTGAAAGCAAGTATGCCTTGAAATACTTACTGATAAAGATCAAAGACTACAGGTGTCAGTATGGATTACACCTAAACAAAAATCCTCACAACTGAATCAATAAACAACATGATAAACTGAGAAAAGAAATTGAAGTTGTAAAAATTTCATTTTGCTTGTACCCACAATCAGTGTTCATGGAAACAGCAGTTAAGATATCAAATGACATATTGCATTGGGCAAATCTGTTGCAAGAGACAGCTTTAAAGATATCACTTTGAGTACTGAGGTGTGCCTAACCCAAGCTATGGTATTTTTAATTACATCATATATGCATATGAAAGTTGGACAGTGAATAAAGAAGACTGGGGAAGAATTGATGAATTTGAACAATGGTGTTGGTGAAGAATATTGAAAGGCCCATGAACTGCCAAAAGAACAGATTGTCTTGGAAGAAGTATAGCTAGAATATTCCTCAGAATCAAGGATGATGAGACTTAGACTCATGTACTTTTGACGTATCATCAAAAGGGACCAGTCCTTGAAAAAGGACATCATGCATGGTGAAATAGAGCATCAAAGAAAAAGAGGAAGGCCCTCAACACAATGACTGCGGCAATGGCCTCAAATGTAACAATTGTGAGAATGGCACAGAACTGGACAGTGTTTCGTCCTTTTGTGCATCAGTAGGGTTGCTGAGTCAGAGCTGACTCAAAGGAACCTAACAAAAAAAAACCAAAAAAAAAAAAAAAAAAAACTAACAAATACCACAGGTGGTTGGTTTTAAAAAACAGACGTTTCTTTTGTCATGGTTAAGGATGTTAGAAGCCTGAATGTAAGATATTGAGTCTAGGTCAAGGCTCAGTCTTTCTGCTCTTGGGGGAAATCCTTCTCTAGTGTTCTTCACTATAGTCCTTGGAAATCTCCCCATGGCATCTTTCTGCATTTGTCCTGGCTTTTCTTTGTCTAATCTTTTCTTTTTATTTCTCAAGAGTGGATTTAAGCCATTCTTCATTGGTATGGCCTCATTAACCTAACAAAGCAAACTCTGTTCCCAAATAGGACTTACATCCACAGATTTGTTGGTTGTTACATGCCATCCAGTAGGTTTTGACTCATACCTTGTATAGGGTTTCTCAGGCTATAAATCTTTATGGGAGCAGAAAGCTTCTTTCTTCCTCAGAGTGACTGGTGGGTTTAAACTGCTAACCTTGTGGATTAGTAGGCCAGTGCTTATCCTACAACACACCATCAGCACTCCAACACATATTTTGAGGGAACACAATTCATGTCTGTAGCAGTACAGATTTGGTAGTGTCATTAAAACCCATTGCTGTCAGTTCTGACCCATAGTGAATTTATACAACAGAACTGCCCAATAGGCATTCCAAAGCTGTAGTCTTTTAGGAAGTAAACTGCCACATCTTTTTCCTGCAGAGTGGCTGCTGGGTTTGAACTGCCAGCTTCTTAGTTAGTAGGTGAGCATATAACCATGGCACCACCAGGGCTCCCTATCCTGACTGTATGAATAGAATAGTAGTGTAACTGAACTACTGGTACATTATTGTTCTGTTTCCATATTGTCTGAAAGCATTCATCAGTCCTTTTCTTCTTTCATGTGTATTTGTGACCAAGAGTAGTTATTGCAGATTATTGTTGTTAGTTGTCTTTCAAGACAGTTCCAATTTATGATAACCCTGTGTGGCTGAGTAGAACTGCTCCATAAGGTCCCGTATCCCCCTCCCCCCCCCCAGAGTTTTCAAGAAAGTAGATTGCCAGCTCTGCTTTCTAAGGTGCCTCTGAGTGGGTTCAAACCATCAGCATTTCAGCTAGTAACTGAGTACTTAACATTTGTACCACCTAAGGACCAATATCATAGATTATTGTTGTTGTTAAGTGCTGTTGAATTGGTTTTGACTCATAGTGATCCTGTATAGGGTTTCTAGGGAGCAGCTGGTAGGTTTGGACTGCAGAATTTATGGTTTGCCTTGCAGTACTGACCCTACAGTGCCACACCAGCATTCCAATCACATAGTGATCCTGTGATCTTGATGGGTGGGGATTGTGAGGCAGTTAAGTAGTTTTAAGAAAAAGATGTGCTTCTGAGGTGAGTGTAGGATAATTACTACAAAATTCCTATGTGTAAATGGCGAATCTTTGTGGAAAGCTATCTAGAGGGCTCCAAAGCAGGAACAACGTAGAGGATCTTACAAACAGCCATGAAATACCTACAAGCAGGTAGTGCTTGAAACTCCAGGGAAATTCAGCCTTGGATGAATGGGAGAAGTAAGACTGAACTCAATCTAGACTGAAAGAATTGTCGACTGGAGTGTTTGAAAGAAAGGAGAGGGGTTAGTTAGCATGAAGAACACAAGAATGTAAAGTTTAACTGAAATTTAAGCATTTACTGTGTATCTCTCAGATTTCCTACCAACTACACTGTGCATTATTCTGTGTGTGATCTACTTCAGTAAACCATGAGGGAGTGAGAGTGTGGTGCTGTGAGTACATGTGCCACAGCAATGGATGACCTGTGAATGAACAGTCTGCCCATGTCATCCAGGTGACATTACAGAGAGTTACCCAGGGAAGTAGAGGTATAATCCAGCCAAGGAGTCTGCATTAGCCTTACTTTCCAACTTCCACTCAAACCGTGCACCCACACATCGTCACAGCTAAGGGGAGAAATCACTAAATACATTACTTTGAGATTACGAAAAAAAATTCTTACATTGGATGTAGTTTTCAGTCTGTATGCTGATTAATTAAAAATTGTTGGGCATTGGAGTGACACTTGAATTTTCAGTTTCTTCTCTAAAATTTAATTTCAGGTTTATAGTACTAGAGCTCTTATTTTCTGATATGTAAGTGACTGTCTTTGCCACTAATGTGTCATAATGTAAGCTTTGTAACATAAAGAAATTAGTACTTTCTATATTTTAAGCATAAAATTTTAGAGAAATATTCAATAGTTGATTTATCTTAGCTTTAGAAAAATTCAAGACTTTGCTACAAATGATACTTAAAAGTAATGCAGAATGCTCTATAGCAAGCTGTAGTTTTAATGATGCCTTTGTATGTTCTTTACAATATTATAAATAGAACATTTCTCTGGTTTTTTTTAGAAAACTGGTGATTTATTTGCTATCAAAGTATTTAATAATATAAGCTTCCTTCGACCAGTAGATGTTCAAATGAGAGAATTTGAAGTGCTGAAAAAGCTCAACCACAAGAATATTGTAAAATTATTTGCAATTGAAGAGGAGGTAAGTAGTCATACTTTAATTCCTTTTGTGATCATATTTGTTTATTCAGGGAACATAACCTAATTAAAAAAAAAATAGTGAAGATTGGGACTCATACAGCCTAGTTTGTATCGTTAAGGATTTTTGAATAGATACAGCATGAAAATAAAATGCTGTAAGAATGGAATTTTCTTTTAAAGTAATGTAAGAGCTCAATGCATTGGACTTCTGGTTTGGCAGCTGTAGAACAGAGTCAGGTAGGACAGGCTTCATGGTGGAGGAGCTGAAAACCCAGAGACACTTGTCTCATGGAACAGCACCAGAGCTCTGGATCTAACATAAGGTTCAGGGCATCAGTTTCCCGCAGCTGCCAGTGGAAAAAAATCATGATATAAAGAAAAATAATACGATTTAAGAATTGGACAAGACATGGGATTCCCTCTGCAGCCAACCCACCTGGTTGGAGGTCAGAGGGCCGGGCTACAGCCAGACCAGCACAGGGAACCAGCACTAAAGGAGTTGTGGGGGGATTCTACACATATTTTCCTCCTCTTCCCTGTTTCGCCTTCTTTGCCTAGCTTGGAGACCTTCAGGCAGGTGGGTGTGCACCCCTAAAAAAGTCCAGCGTTGAGACCTCAGCTTTCCCATGGCACAGAGAGAAAGAGCCCCATTGGTCCAAGGGCAAATTCTTTGGCTGCTGCTTTGGACTTATGCCTGTGGGTCCCAACCCTAAAGTTAACTTATATGGGACCCTATACTCCTGCCTATCCAGCAAGAAAAAAAGCAGGTTTGGCCTGACAGACAAACCATACAAACAATCTATAAAACTTCAACATAAAAAGACGCAACTATTTCAAGAATTAGGCTGTGCACACAAAGATATCTAACTGACCTTCAGATACAAAAATAGTAAACAGTCTTTCTCCCATTAAGTTCTCAATATCTCTCTGCACACCTCTACGGTGATGACTAGAAGAGGGGCCTGAGCAAGTGGACACCCCCACCCACTACTGGAGGCTTCTGTGGTACACACACACACTGCCTATGTAATAAGGCGACTGGCCAGCCAGCCACAGTTTTATTTTTGTTTTAAAGAGGTGGTTTTTGTCTCTGATTGTATATTGCTTCTGCTTTTGGGCCTTTTGATCACACATTTTTCCTGGAGGTGGGAGCATTTTTCCCTACGTTACCCAAGAAGAGTCAGCAATTGTGGCCATATAGCCAAGCTACAAGCATACCTCATAATATTACACCATTGAGACAAGAGCCAATAACAGCTGCTAAGCATTACATGTGAACAGGAAAGCCTATCTCCTGATCATATCTACCAGGAGACACCCAGTAAACTTAACACAGCAGAAAACATCCATTTAAGCATTAAAACCCCACAAAACTACTGGAAATGACCAACAAAACACAACAAAAGGTATCAAAACATGTCCAAGAACAGAAAAAAGTAACTGAGACAAATGAGCTGGAGACAGACAAAGGCGTTCCAGAAGAGGAAGAGCAGATTTTGGATTTGCCATAGAAGGAATTCAGAAGAATGATAGGGAAACAAATTTAAATGCTCTGAAAGGGGGTGGAGAAAAACAAGGAAGAAGTCAGGAAAGTACTACAGGAGCAATCAAGCAGATCTATACAGCGTTGGAAACAATTCAAAACCTGCAAAAAGAGGTCCAGATGATCAATAATAAAATATCAGAAATGGACAATACACTGAAAGGGGAATGGAGCAGAATTGAAGAGATGGAAGCCAGAATCAGCAAGCTGGAAGACAAATCTCTCAGTACTGCTAAGATAGAAGAGCAAGCAGAAAAAAGAATAAAAAAATCAAAATAGAATTTAAGATTCATGCTGGATAACATAAAGAGGAACAACTTAAGAATTACTGGCATTCCAGAACAGGAAGAATCAGAGAAGTCCACAGAGGACATAGTTGAAGAGATTCTGGAAGAAAATTTTCCTAATATCTTGAAAGATGAGAAGATAAACATTCAGAAGCCGAATGTATCCCAGGAAGGATAGACCCCAAAAGAAAGTCACCAAGACATATAATAATTAAGCTCTCCAAAATCAAAGACAAGGAGAGAATCCTAAAAGCAGCCAGGGAATGAGAAATGTTACTTACAAAGGCAAGCAAATCAGATTAAACTCTGACTATTCAGCAGAAACCATGCAGGCAAGAAGGCAATGGGGAGACATATACAAAATCCTAAAAAAGCAAAACTGCCAACCAAGAATCACCTATCCAGCAAAACTGTCAATCAAATATGATGGTGTAATCAAAACATTCCAGGATAAACAGAAGCTAAGAGATTTTGTCTAAGCCAATCCAGCGCTTCAGAACATCCTAAAGTGAGTTCTTTTGACTGAAAACAAGCAAGAACAGATGACAAAGATTGACAGGCGTGGCAACACCACCTGAAACTCAGCCAACACATATAGTCCAGAACAGAACAAAATTACAATAATGAATTCAAAAGAGCTGGGAGGTCAACCGAAGATCAAAATTAATAACAATGTCAAAGAAGGAGAAAATGTAGGAACAGAGATCCAGGTGGTGAGGAGGTCAGGTAGATTACAATATACAATGTTGTTATTAAGTACCGTGGAGTTGGTTCCAACTCATAGTGACCCTGCCCAGGGTTTCTGAGGCTGTAAATCTTTACGGGAGCAGAAAGTCTCATCTTTCTTCCACACAGGATACAATAGATTGTCTTAAATGCAGAGAAAAGTTAATAGACAATAAGGTATCCCCAAAGAAAGTTAGTATTTCACAACTTACCATAAAAATTAACCTGCAACTAGAACAAGTCAACATGAAAACTAAAAAGAAACCAACAAGAAATGGCACAAAACATACAAACTCAGCACAAGAAAGCATACAGAACAAAGGAATGAACAGCACTACCAAAAATTAACATAAGGGCAGCAATTAATTCATACCTAACGATAATTACATTGAATGTCAATGGATTAAATGCGTGAGGGAAGAGAGTGAATGTCAATGGATTAAATGCACCAGGGAAGAGAGTGGCAGAATGGATAAAAAAAACAAGACCCTTCAATATGCTGCCTGCAAGAGATACACCTTACACACAAAGACAAAAACAGACTAAAAGTTAAAGGATGGAAAAAAATATACCAAGCTAACTACAACAATAAACAAGCAGGAGGGGCAATACTAATCTCCCATAAAGTAAACTTTCAGACAAAAACCAGCATAAGAGATAAAGAAGGACACAGAATGGGAGAAAGTCTTCTGCAACGACACATCAAATAAGGGACTAATTTTCTAAAATACATAGGAAACTATAACACCTCTACAAGAAAAAGACAATCCAGTTAAAAAATGGGCACATGACATGAACAGACACTTCACCAAGGAGGAGATCCAGGCAGCCAACAAACATGTGAAGAAATGTTCATGATCACTAGCCATCTGACAGATGCAAATCAAAACAGTAATGAACTATCACCTCACACCAGCAATAACAGCAAAGATCCAAAAAGTAGAGCACAATAAATGTGGGCGAGGATGCAGTGAGAATGGGACCCTCCTATATTGTTGGTGGGATTGCTAAATGGTCCAACTCTTGAAAGCAATATGGCACTTCCTCAGAAGGTTGGAAATAGAAACATCTTATGATCCAGCAATTCCTCTACTTGATATTTACCCACAAGAAATACAAGCCATAACACAAGTAGATATATGCACACCAGTGTTCGTAGCAGCACTAATAGCAAAAAGATGGAGACAGCCTAAATGCCCATCAGTTGAAGAATGGATAAACAAACTGGCACATGCACACAATGGAATACTATGCTACCTTGAAGAACAACAAGGAAGCTGCAAGCCACTGCATAACATGGATGAAACTTGTGAAATTAGTCACAAAAGGAGAAATACTGTATAGGACCATTATTGTAAAGGACTAAGAAAAAGAACCCACCCAAAAGAGGAAAAAAACTATATATATATAATTGCTGATCACCGGGATGTATGGGATGACAGGAGGGGAGGGAAGGAGGCGAAGGTAGAGCACAGGGTAGGCAATAGACACAAGATAGCTTGGGAGTGGGGTATGGGGGTGGGGTGGGCAACACAAAAGAAGGAAGAGGGGAATGGAAGAACAAGGTGGATGGGAGAACAGTTAGGCAGGTTTCATGGGCTACGTGGGAAACAGGTAAATGATGGATGCACAACCTTGGGACAACAGGGCTTTGGGATAGAGGAATTGAGGCATGGTTTGAATATGTAAAAGAGGGGAATAATGTTAAGATGCTTGGCTGTCTTTTGAATCTTGGTTTCCCTTGCCTACCATTGTGAAATAGACACTTGACCAGGGGAATAAGGAATAGCCATAAACATCACAATAGAAAGCTTTTAACTCCATCTTCAGACTATAACTGATTGGAATACCTTAATGGGGGCTAGAAGTTGCCCAGTGCAAGAGACCTCCTGTGGAGCTTTTGCATTGTACAAGACCACAGGTGTAAACTAGAACCCCATTCAGAATTGTCTGAGGTGGGAAATTTCTCCTGGAAAGGACCAGCCTGGAGCAGCTAGAAGAACAGAAGATACTTCGTGAAGAAAGACCAGCAGGAAATAGTCAGAAATAATAATGGTGTTCTGATTGATTACTACAAGAACAAGTAAGCTGTTTGCCTGGGAGCCATCAAGGCAAGTGGTCGGGACCCCTCAGTGCAAACTCCCATCCAAGACTAAGACTCAAGGGGACTACACGAGTAGGCATGTGGTCTGGCTGGTGACCACATTGGTCACCGACAAGGGGAAGAGGGGTAAAAAACAGCAATGAAGTTCAGATCTAATTCTGACCACATTCAATAGACCCCTGCGAACCCGGGTGGAGATAGACTCCTGGGCCCAGAGGCAGTGACATGGCCACAGAGGACTGGAGCAGAAAGTGAAGCGTCCAGCTGATATGAAGTGAGGGGAGAGGCACAAGAACACCCATATTTGCAAATAGTACCCACTTGACCTGGCTTCAATGGCT